TCCGTTTCAATGCTGAACTTCACATTAGTGGAAATTCTTCGACCCCTCATCAACCACAAATCTCAATTCGACTGTTCTGAATCTAATGGTTGATATTTCCTGTTATCGGGTGATTTCAGAGGATGACTCCTATAAGTTCCAGTGTCAAGCGCTAACTGAATTGGCCAACTCATTTTTGAATGACAAAAATCCTCTGCTGAACATTAGAACAATTTTTTTAAAAAGGTCTTACCCCAAATAGGTTTTCATTTCCGTATTAGTTCTCATTAGATCTGGTTATTGCTTATGTAGTGTTTTCTTGATTTAGTTACGGAAGATCCTTCTCCAACTCTTACTTGTTATTGTCTTTCCTTCTTATTTTCTACATAGATGTGGTGCAAATATGAAAATAGGAAATAACCGTAAAGAAACACCACATTCACTAGCGCTACATTCGAACTGTGAACCGTTAATACGACTGTTCGCTTTACATTTAGGTCAAAAACAATTGGAAGAACTCACTGATTATGATACTACAGGTGAAGTTGACTTGAAATTGAACAATCGTTTCGATATAGTATGATCAATATCATAGATACGTAGACTATCTGTCTCGTGTTTACGCTACCCAGTGTTTTATTATTTATTTCTCAAAAGTAACCCAACTCACATATCTCTATTACAGTGTGATACAAATCATTGTGGCTAGTTTTTAACTTACATAAATTTTCTTATTCAGAAGTTTATTGTACAGTCTTAGCAGAAAAGTCGCATGTATACTGTATGACTACACGTATTCGGGGAACTAATTTAATCTACACCTAGCCCACTATTCAATATAACATCTCGTCGTTTTTAATGGCAATGATATTTTGTGAAAACATTAGTAGAAACATTCAGAATTTTTTATGGATAAAGCTTTTATATTGAAGAGTATTGGTTTTTTCAGTTTACTAGTATTGAACAAACGAAATGTGATAATGGAAAATCTCACTACTTCAATGACTGCTTAAGATCTAGAACATTATGGCATACCTAGAAGACACTTATAGGTACAAACTCAAACTGCCAATGGCTTAGACGAATATCGATCGTGAATCCCTTTAACAAAATGACCGGTTTGAATAAAATAAAGCTTCTTACGATCATCAAACCTGAAGTCATAAACTCTAATTCAAATAGCATACTTCTCCTTAAGGTTTGCGCTGATGCTTTGAATGATGTTAATGACTTGCAATCAAACCATTTATTTGAGAGTATGGGGAAGCTACTGTAAGATGTTTAACTTTCCTTGCTATTGATGACTTACTGTTCTCACATTCATCACAATGAGTGATCGTAGGAAAGAAAATAAGAAAACCCCGCTAACGTCTTTCCCTAAGCGACAAAATACTAGGGGTTGCATAACAAAGAGTTTTTATTTGTCAGGATAATTCTTACACGATCACTAAAACGAGTGCTTTTGTTGATTATGTGCTGCAACACACATTTTGTGACAGATAGATCCAAATAGATGATGGATTATTTCGTCTTCCCGAAACAGACTTATTTAGGTTTTGTACGTAATGATCATGTAATAGCCGCGATGTCAGTCAGTTATCTTTTTGTTCGAATTAATCGATTATTATATAAAAGCATACTTTGTGACTGAAATGTAGATTGCATAAATTGTTGTGGTTGAAGGGTCTTGGCTAAATAAGCATGTTATGGAAATTAGTATGTAATTGTAGCAAAGCGACGGTCATCTGACCATCGAAGCTACAATTACTGATGTGATTTGAATGCCTACTTCAAAGTATTTGACAGTGAACTATTATCAATAAAAAAAAGCTTGTCTAACTTCGTTAAGCCTTAAAATCATAAATACACTAGACCATACATGGAATCCTTCACTAATTCTTGGGATTACTTACTATTGCCAAAATAGTTCCAGTTTTGATGTCAGCCGATAACTCCCAAGACAGTGCAAATCAATTACCTATCATAAAATTCTCTGGAATATTCGTGTAGCCCTTCCGCTTTCAACTCAAGGTATGAATAAAATATGCTGTTAAATATTTAGACTGGAGCAATAATAAGCGTTTGTCCAATGTGCTTTTCAAAGTACTTTATTAAAGTCTACTAACTATCCAAATACGAAAATTAGAAATACTTCAGCGAGTCGCAGGCTTTGCTGCAATCTATTTTAAGGTAAATGAAAAAAGTGATACCACCTTAGACGAACTTTTAACAATCGTGAAATTTTCAAACTTAACACCTGAGCAATGACTTATTTATAATAATGATGTATTTTACGTGACCGATAAATTCATAAAAACGAATGGATGAAGTACTCAGTTATTTGTGTTCAATAATATTCAGTGCTGCCTCACATTTTTAATCCAAGTATCTGATGAGACTACAGTAGTTTAGTTTTGATGATGACAATGTAGAGATAACTACTAAATCCTTCCAACATGCATCGAACAGCTGCCTCGTCTCTCTCTCTCTCTCTCATATATATATATATACTATCATTGATATCCACAAGGACAATGGAAGACGTGAGAATCAGGAGCACAGTTGACATCGTTTCAGATCACCATCTAGTGGTTGCAAAGATCAAACTGAAGCTAAATAAGCATTGGACAACTGGACAAACAGCATTACAAAAGTTCAATACAGCCTTTCTTCGACATACTGAAAAATTCAACGAATTCAAGATAACTCTCAACAACAGGTTCCAAGCCTTACAGGATCTACTGAAAGAACAGGAAACTACGGTGGAGGACAGCTGGAAAGGGATCAAAGAAGCGTTTACTTCGACGTGTCAGGAAGTGTTGGACCGAAACAAGCATCATCATAAGGGATGGATCTCTATAGGTACCCTGGACAAGATTGAAGAAAGAAAGAAAGAACAAGAAGACAGCAATTAACAACAGTCGAACAAGGACTGAGAAAGTCAAGACAGAAAGTGAATACACTGAAGCAAACAAGCAAGTAAAGAAGAGTATCAGAGCCGACAGACAGAAATTCATGGAAGACATAGTAACGACAGCGGAAAAATCTGCAGGAGAACGGAATATGAAACAACTGTATGAGTCGACGAAGAAACTGGCAGGAAAATATAGTGAACCAGAGAGACCAGTCAAGGACAAAGAAGACAAGCCAAACACTGAGATTCACGAACAGAGGAACACATGGGTAGAACACTTTGACGAACTCTTGAATAGATCAGCTCCATTGAATCCACTGGACAGCAAAGCAGCACCTACAGCCCTTCCTATAGATGTCACTCCACCAACGACCAAAGAAATCAGTATGGCCACCAGGCAAATCAAGAATGGGAAACCATCAGGACCTGACAATATACCAGCCGAAGCACTAAAGTCAGACATTGAAGTAACTGCAAACATGCTCCACGTTTCATTCAGAAAGCTTTGGGAAGAGGAACAAGTGCCACTGACAGACCGTAAAGAAGGATACCTCATCAAGATACCAAAGAAAGGAGATCTGAGCAAATGTGAGATTTACAGAGGCATCAGTTTGTTGGCAGTACCAGGGAAAGTTTTTAACAGAGTGTTGCTGAACTGGATGAAAGACGCAGTAGACGCCCAACTTCGAGGTCAACAGTCTGGAGTCCGTAAGGATCGATCGTGCACAGATCAAATCGCAACAGTACGGATCATCGTTGAACAATCAATTGAATGGATCTCGTCACTGTGCATCAACTTCGTTGACTATGAGAAGGCGTTTGACAGTGTGGTCCGGAGCACATTATGGAAACTTCTTCGACGCTATCGTGTACCTGAGAAGATGGTCAACATTATCCAGAACTCATACGACGGACTATAGTGCAGAATCGCGCAGGCAAGACTTCTGCATTTCCAATAGGCATCGGTGTCAGACAAGGCTTTTTAATTTCAACTTCCTCTTTCTTTTGGTGATTGACTGGATTATGAAGACTTCGACATCTGATGGGAAGCACGGAATACAATGGACATCTCAGGACCCAGTAGACGACTTGGACTTCGCAGATGACCTCGCCTTCCTTTCTCATACACATGAACAAATACAGACGAAGACAGCAAATGAAGTAGCAGCCTCTGCATCAATAGGTCTCAATATACATAACGGAAAAAGCAAGATCCTCAAATACAACACGGATAACACCGACCAACCCAATCACATTTGATGGAGAAACTCTGGAAGATGTAGAAACACTCACGTACCTGGGAAGCATCATTGATGAACAAGGAGGATCTGATGCAGATGTTAAGGCAACGATTGGTAAAGCAAGGTCAGCATTCTTACAGTTGAAGAACATGTGAAACTCGAAACAACTGTCAACTAACTTCAAAGTGAGAATCTTCAATGCGAACGTCAAGACAGTTCTACTGTACGGAGCTGAAACATAGAGAACTACTACAACCATCGTCAAGAAGGTACAAGTATTTATAAACAATTGTCTACGCAAGGTACTCAATATCCGTAGGTCGGATAATATCAGCAACGACCTACTGTGACAGAGAACAAACCAGAATTCAGCTGAAGAGGAAACGAGGAAATGACACTGTAGGTGGATCGGACATACATTGAGGAAATCACCAAACTGCATGACGAGGCAAGCAGTAACTTGGAATCCTGAAAGGAAATTTAAGAGAGGAAGACCAGGGAACACACTGTGTCGGGAATCGGAAGTAAACACCATAAGAGCGAAAAGCAACTGATAAGGATATTAGAGGACAGCGTTGAATGGAGAAGGCTGGTCAGCGACCTATGCTCCTCCATGATGAGTAGCAGGCGTCTGTAAAACTGAATGTATGCATATTTATTGCACCACCACGTCTTCTATCATACTGTCTTCAAATACAACATTTACATGTTTAGTTGTTTGTAGATCACGTGAAATTGATTAGTCAATTATTTTAATAAAAAATGATTGATACAATGAAAAATTAATAAGTAAAATAAATGCTCTTAGCCTACTGTTTATAGTTACTCCGTATGCATACATCTGATAATAGAGTTGGATGGATAAGGCTGGTGAGCGGCCTTTGCTCCTCCGTGAGGGTTAACAGGCGTAAGTCATTGCTTAACCCTATTTACGGCAAACTCTTAGTTTCCGAACCTTATATCCTCACGTTATAGATGTATGATATGAGTATGAAACTGATAAAGCGATGAGAAGTAGACTACCACTAAATGATCTAGTAAAGTGCGTAAACAACAACATAAACAGCAACATAAAACCAGGGCCCATCGCAAGGTTAAAATAAAAAAATTATCGCTATCCATCAGACGGTTTCGTATCTCATATAGTCTGGTTTCTTAAAGATACACATAAAATAGTTATATCAGAATGGTATGCTACGATCAAACATCAATACGATATAGCAAAGATGTAAGTAAATTTGACAGACTAAAATATTGTAAATATATAACTTATGTGACAGAATATTTTACATGATTGATAGTAACTTGAGACGAAAGGGCCAAAAACAAGCGTTTGCTCAATAGACAGATGCTGATAATAGGAATAAAATGAATAAAGATTATTTGGGTAAAATAAGGTTAATAATCTAGAAGACATTCAACATACAGGCGTAATGATGCAACTAATGGAAGAAAATTGGACAGCCTTTTATGGCGTAATGAAAAACATTTTTGTCACCAAGGCAAAGAAAAATTAGAAACGATCACTATTTGGAAACATAAGTCAGGTTCCTGACGCCTGAAAGAGATGGCTTTAGCGAACTTCAAATGACGAGTTTGGTTGCTTATTAATCGCCTAGAAAGATTTAAGGTATCGACCTGATGTCCCATGTCCAAAAGATATTTAGTGTTTGGGTTACTTAAAGTAGTTCTTTCTCTTGTCCGAAGGGGTTTAGGAGCGTGTCTACACAATCTAATATATGCTCTCTTTCCTGTCCCGTCAATGTAGCTTGTTTTGGAAGTGCACGTAAATTAACATTCACGGTGACCAAATGAACTTTAAGTAAGAATAAAATGAACGAAGTTCATTACGTAACTAATTGTTTCTAACCCGAGAACGAAACGGAATAAGATGAACTTATGTTATCTTTTTCAAAATTTTTGTTCTTGCTCTTTACGAAATGATAAAAGAAGCTATATGCATAGTTATTTCGACACAACACTGAATCTATTTGGTTACTTGTCGTCTCTTTGTACATCTTTAGTATGGAGTTAATCGTAGATAAGTAAGGATAATTTTCATATTTCAAAGAAAAAAAGACAATATTAATATCAAGGCAGTAGAAAAGTAAAATTTATTTTCAAGAACATCTGACAATGTCATGGTGGGAGGTAAACGTAAGACCTAAATAATCTGGCGACCCGAATAAAGTACTGTTGTCAATTGAGACTTTGGTCTTCGAAAAGTTTTTGTGGGACTTCATCCTGAAGGAAAATCAAATAGAACTAATAAAAAACATACCTCCTGAATTATATCTTGTGCATCAATCACAGAAAGAATTTCTTTTGCTCCTGTCTCTTGTACTTCACCAGCTAGTAAATATTCATCCAAAACAAAATAAGCTTTTTCAAAGTGAAAGATTATGTCTAATTCACAGACCTTAATAATACAATTTTATGAAATAGGAATTACATTTCCAAAATATTTATCCAGAATCTCCACGTAACGATGAATAATCTCCAATGTAATTAATTCATTATCTGTCTGATCAATAGCGCACACAAAATAGAGACTAGCATATCTGTTAAAGCGTAGTTGCAAAAAATTACAAACATACCTTCTGTACACAATCTTAAGATCTTGCCATTCTAGAAACGAGCACATTTTTGGTTTCCTCGCAAAGACCAGCGAAATAATTTCGCGTAAATACTTTTTCTTTTCTTTCTCCGTATAAGAGCTATACCATTTTTGAAGTCGCACTTTACCTTGACGACTGAACAATAACATAAAATTTATCTACACAATGTGTAATGTGAAATCAGAATGTACACTAACCATAGTGTGAATATAGAGTGCAGGATGTAAGATGAAAGTAATTCGGGAATAAATGCAGCATAAAATGCTTACAGTATCTGGAAAATAAATAGATGCAAATAGTAATTTAGTGTCCACAAGACTGATATTACTCAGGAAATAAAATAACTATTTCACTGTAGACAAGTTGAAGTAAAAACTAGTATACAACTAGGCTATTTTAAGAAACAGGACATCATGGTAAAATTATCATTGCATGATCATATATGTAGAATACTAGGTTTTTATACCTATATATCTAAGATAGTACAATGCTAATCGTCTAAGATGCACTTCTTTTAAGTTAAAAACTGCCTGAGATATGAATAATAATAGTATCTGAACTACCACTCACTGATCAAACATTGAATTTCCATCAGGTTAAAGCCTTAAATTAAATAGTGAAACGGTGACTCACTAATGCTCACATATTACACGAAACATAAAAGCCGCTAGTATAAGAATGTCAACTGTGCATTATATTTGATAAAATCAATGAGTTCTAAGCAAAGTGTTCTACTACGAGATTTCTGTACATCAACTTCATCTTGCATGACTTTGCCTAAATGTATTCACAGGAATACTGTGTAAGTTTTATTATTGATTACCTGTGATTACAAACACTAACAAAACGGTTCAATTTACTACAAAAAAGCGCCCACTGCAATTTCATCCGACTTAAAGGCCCATTTCATTCCAGAATTGCAGGGCCTTACTTCAAATATACTAACTTCCGCCCATTATAACGCATGTGATAAATACCAAATATCTATATGGTAACGACACATAAATCTAAAGACTTGGATCTCTATACTTTGTTTCTTTGGATTATTACCAACCTGAACGGAGTGGGAGTGCAGAAAGATAGAGATAAGAGCAACTTAAATATTACCAAATAAGTACTTCTGCAGCAGGACATGCGTTTAAAACTCAAAATTGAACTACGACGGCTCCGATCAACCCATCTAATCAGTTTACAATGGTTCAAATTTTCGGTGTGAAACTTATTTCAACTAGATGTGCACTTCAAAAGAGACGTTTATTTTCATTAGTTATTAATTGAATTATTTCTCACTTAGGTACCGAAACCTATCGTAGTTTTAGTTGGGCTTCTTTCGTTAAAGTAAAGGATATTTTTTCCTTCTTTGAATGATTTTCTACCACACTTTATATGTGGTTACATTACCTGGCGTAATAGTACCCAAATTCTGTCAAGTGTATTACTAAAACCCAGCGGACTGACTGACTCATACATATTAAGCATGGTTGGTAATGTTTCACACTTATTTATAGATTATATTGCACTCAGTTTGCAGAACCTTAAGGTTATAAAACAAAAGTCGCCAAATGGCAGCGTGGAATGATCATTATTTTTATTGTGACTGATGTTAAGACCTTAATGATCGTGACTTATGGCAAATATGTATAAAGTAACAACCTGTAGCTTAAAATGTGAAAAAGTGCTATAATCCACAATAGTAAAATGAGTGAAATTCTGTCTGAGAAAAACTCAGATCGACCTCTGCAGAGAACGCTTGACCTTACAAATTCTTGGTGCACTGAATGATCAGCTTTTTCAGAAAATTAACACGAGATTGTTTCCACATTTACTCTCATACTGCAAGTAAGGTAATAGACTAGGTATATACATATTGCCTAGATTGTTACTCAACCTATACAAGAAAACTGAGAAATAAATATATGATTAAACTGCAGAAAAATATAAATACATTAGACGAGTTGTTTTGGATTTAGCAAACATCGGTCAGGGCAAACTACAACAACATGAAATATGATTGTTACCAAAGTCATGAATCTTCTTAAAAGACTGGTGGCATATTTTCCAGGCTAAGAGAGACCTGTTTATATAAAACCTAGTAATTGGTGTGACTTGCAGCGCATCAGTTTAGAAATATTTTAAGATAGTGTTAAATCCGAAATTTAGATGGCATATACAAAATCATAACTACAAGTTACACTCCGAACCAGAGTAGCGTGTACAACACACCAGTATTGTGAAAATAAATGTACTTTTCACCATATAAGTCCTAAGTAAATACGAGAAGACCGATGAATCAGAACTTTCAAGCTTTTTTATAACATTATAGTGTTCGATACATATGCAAAGTAAAAAAAATTTTGCTTTAAAAAAAGAAGTAACTTAAGTGTTTTGGTTACAACTTCGATGAAGTACGTTAATATTTTATATTTTCAGTAACAACTGGATGAACTAACCGGATTATGGCTCTAAGATGATCATTTCGACTACCGCGCCTAAGGTTGGGTCTAGATACAGTACAAAATGTATGTAGTTACGCCCTTGAAGGTCAAACAACTGACCTGCTATTGGAGCGTAAGGCAAACGAGTAGACAACCTCAGTATTAATTTGCAGAAAGTAACCTAATTTTTTTGAACAGTGCTTAAACTCTAAAAATATCGGAAACCATTCAAATTTAGTGTTTAATTAATCCATCTACAATGCTAGCTGAACCATAGATGACTTCGAACCCCTCATTCGTATACTTAATCAGGTAACAGAAAGGATACATGAATGATCTAATATATAATACTTTTCCATCCGTATATCTAAAAAGTTGTTCTTGCTTGACGGCTAGTGGTAACTGACGATAGTAAACATTTCTATAATGATTCAACCTGTTAGTGCATGTATTAGAATCCATCTACCGTCATAAGTATCTTACAGAACATCACGTATTCGGAATCCCGGAATAATCCAAGCAATTTTCAGTATTTACTAAAAAACTCATTTGATGAAGCTTTATATCGTTTACCCTTGAATAAATCCCTAAAGTAAATAATTTCATAAGTCTTCACTAACATTACTGGATATCTTCGAGTTAAACTATCTGGTATGAGATTCTAACTCAAAACTATCTCAGCCTAAAGCTTCTGAAATCACTGACTAACACCTAGTTCTTTCCTTTTAGATTCAAGCGCCTTAGGCGCACTTAACGGGTCCTCCACTCATTTTTCTTTTTTATTATTCTCTGTTCAGGCGCACCTACCCCTACGTTACAGAGCATGGTCCCCTAGTACCTAGAATACTTTATAACTAAACACGAACCGCTCAGGTCAAGCTCTGACTAAAGCCACTTGCCCTGGCATCATCATATCACATTTTTGTGAGCCCTACTATGCATACCTTATAATAAACAATCAAGTTAATTCCCGTACACCCCAATGCCCCAACCATTGTTAACATATATGTTCGTGTTTCTTCATTTCTGACTTTTGGTTCAGTCAGGTTTAAGATTTTCGTATAAAAAAAGTCTTGAAAAATATAGTTACCGGACAGGGTTCAACCGAGCCTTCTGTGGTAAGGTTGCATTATATTTAGGACAACGAATCTCTCTCTTCTAAAGAATCCAAATATAAACAAAGAAATGTGTATTTAAATGTGAAAGCTTTACTAGGTTCATCGGCCGGTATTCATTATGTAACACTTGGTAGTCAGTAACGGTGAACGCAGTGAAGATACGACTAGTATTCTGATTTTACAACCTGCTACCAGTAGCACCTTCTATATACGAAACTTTCCCCAACCAAATGAAATCAGAAGTCAGATGCGAAGAGATCGGAAAGATATATTTGATACGTTATCAATATATCGCGAAGCGTTTATTCTAAGCTGGCTAGTGTATGTAGGAGCTGTGTCTCACGCTGTTTCAAAACGTGATCTGGTCCGGATGCATGACCGAAAGCCTTCAGTTAAACAAGTCCACTTAAAACAACGTGGTCAGCATCCAATGTTGAACACTTAATGAGCTATTGATTTCGGGGATTTATTTACAGCTACAGCAGGAAGACTGAGTTCATAGCTGAGCCAATATTCCGAGACTATTTTTTCTTTAATTGGTTGTTGATTGGAAGTATAAGAATATAATTTCCGCTGAAGACTTGATTTCAAGTGTTCTAAGTTATACACATCTTCACAATTTGAAAGTTAAATTTCTGACACAAACTAGGCAAAGCAAAATTCAGCGAAAGTCAGAACGTCATCTGAGCTTCAGAAAACAGAAAGGTCTTCTAGATTGTTAAGTTTTGCATGTTTATTGAGCAGTGAAAGTCGAATAGTTGACCTAACACTAATCGCATGTGGAAACTGCTGACTTCTGATGGGTACGTACATACGGATGCCAGTACAGTGCTCAAGGCAAAATTTTTTGATAGCAAACTATCTGGAAAAAAAATCCTTGCCAGCCACTACGATGTCAAATCAGGAAGTGGATTCTATTTTGTCCGTTCGTGTCCTTATGATTCGTTCATGTCTTATGTTTAGGCATTTTCACTCCTGGTTCGATTGAGAACTAATTCTGTCTACCGAGACTGCTCACAAACGTTCGTTAAGCATCCCATCGTTTATAAAAAGCAGAAAATCACGCTTTTATTTAAACAGATAACATTGCTTGATTTGAACTACAAGTACGTTGCGGAACATAAAGAATACTGGGAAGACCAAAGATACGTTCACACGATACAACTGACTATTCTGGCCGTTTAAGATTTACATATACACTTTTTAAAATGGTTTACATTTCGATTCATGCCTCATAGTACTTTACAGACCTAGTCAGCAGGTCAGAGTAGAGGGCCATGTCTTAAAAAAATACGTACTTACTGCAACATGGGGCAAGACATTAGTATACCACGGTCTTTGACGTGGTCGATAAACGATATTGTGAATGGTTCACAATAAAGTTTGTACAACCGTACCAGTCAGTTCTGACTGCTTGATTACAGTTGTCAAAGTTTAACTTCTTGCTCCTCTTGAAGTTGTCAGAATTTAACAGCAAGAAGCTTATTCATGATAAACAATTTTCAGCTACAGTGTTTGCTCCAGAAAAAAATTTCAAATGTCTGAAGCGCACTGAGAAATGTAGGATTTTTTACACGTTTTATGAAAATTTAGCACCCTGACGAGGACTAAAAGTCAAATTGTGATTGTCGATTTATAGCACTTCAGGATATCCGTCATCTCGTTTCGCAACTAAAGAATGCCTTAATGGTCAAAGATACTTAAGAAAACGTTCAATCAGCGGGTCCACTTTTTGTAATTCTGTGTGTTAATAAACTCCGCCTGTAGCTCCTCCAGGGGCTACTGCCGGTCCCAAGCCCGGGTAAAGGAGGAGGGTTGGGCATGGGGTTAGCGACCCCATCCCGTAGAAAACCAACTCGCTAAAAAACGCTAACCAGAAAAATTCATTCAAACCATTCAAACTCTGCCCTGGGAGTAGAAGGAAAAATGACGTCTCATGATGAAAGCCGAGTTCCTTCGGAAGTCATGAGGCCGATGCACCTTCTTACAACCAGAGCGACAATTTTTATAGGTACATGGAATGTCCGGACAATGTGGGAGACCGGAAGAGTCTTCCAAATTTCTGCGGAAATGAGGAAATACAACCTGGAAGTGCTTGGAATCAGTGAAACACATTGGACGCAGGTTGGACAACAACGACTGTCTTCAGGGGAACTTCTGTTATACTCCGGTCATGAAGAAGAAAATGCCCCACATACACAAGGAGTGGCACTGATGCTGTCTAGAAAAGCACAAAATGCACTTATAGGATGGGAATCTCATGGACCAAGGATCATCAAAGCCTCCTTCAGAACAAGGAGAGAGGGCATTACAATGAACGTCATCCAATGCTATGCGCCGACCAACGACTACGATGAAGACGCTAAAAACCAATTCTACGATAGGCTGCAGTCAATCTTCGAGAAGTGCCCAACCAAGGACCTGACCATTCTAATGGGAGATTTCAATGCCAAGGTTGGAAAGGACAACACTGGATACGAAGACGTCATGGGACAATATGGACTGGGAGGAAGGAACGAAAATGGTGAGAGATTTGCAAACCTATGTGTCTTCAATAAACTGGTCATAGGTGGCACCATATTCTCACACAAAAACATACACAAAGCCACTTGGATTTCACCGGATTACACTACACAAAATCAAATCGACCATGTCTGCATCAACAAAAAGTTCAGGAGGACGATGGAGGATGTGAGAACCAGAAGAGGAGCTGATATAGCATCCGATCACCATTTGCTGGTCGCCAAGATGAAACTAAAACTCAAGAAGCACTGGACAATGGCGTGGACAACATCACAAAAGTTTAACACGGCCTTTCTTCGAGATGCTGACAAACTCAACGAATTTAACATAGCCCTCAGCAACATGTTCGAGGCCTTTCATGACCTACTCAATGGAGAAGGAACCACCATAGAGAGCAACTGGAAAGGTATCAAGGAGGCAATCGTTTCAACATGTCAGGAGGTTCTGGGCCAAAAGAAGCACCATCACAAGGAATGGATCACTGTTGGTACACTGGATAAAATTGAAGCAAGGAGGAACAAGAAGGTAGCAATCAATATCAGCCGAACAAGAGCAGAAAAAGCCAAGGCACAAGCCGAATACACAGAGGCAAACAAGCAAGTGAAGAGGAGCATCAGGACCGACCGACGTAAATATGTGGAAGATTTAGCGATGACAGCGGAAAAGGCTGCAAGAGAGGGAAACATGAGACAACTGTATGATACAACAAAGAAACTTGCTGGAAATTACCGTCAACCAGAAAGACCAGTGAAAAACAAGGAAGGCAAAGTAATCAACGATATTGAAGAACAACGAAACAGGTGGGTAGAACACTTCAAAGAACTCTTGAATCGATCAGCTCCACTGAACCCACCCAACATCGAAGCAGCACCCACAGACCTCCCAATCGATATTGGCCCACCAACAATTGAAGAGATCCGCATGGCCATTAGACAAATCAAGAGTGGCAAAGCAGCGGGACCAGACAACATCCCGGCAGAGGCACTGAAAGCAAATGTAACAGCAACTGCCAAGATACTCCACATCCTCTTCGGTAAGATTTGGGACGAAGAACATGTACCAACAGACTGGAAAGAAGGACTTCTCATCAAGATACCAAAGAAAGGCGATCTGAACAAGTGCGACAACTACAGAGGCATCACTCTCCTCTCAATACCAGGAAAAGTCTTCAACAGAGTATTGTTAAACAGGATGAAAGATTCCGTGGACGCCCAATTTCGAGATCAACAAGCTGGATTTCGTAAGGATAGATCGTGCACAGATCAAATCGACACTACGGTGTGCCTGAGAAGATAGTAAATATCATACGGAACTCCTATGATGGACTAAACTGCCAAATCGTCCACGGAGGACAACTCACCGACTCGTTCGAGGTAAAGACCGGTGTTAGGCAAGGTTGCCTACTCTCACCCTTTCTCTTTCTCCTGGTGATCGACTGGATTATGAAGACGTCAACATCTGGAGGAATGCACGGGATACAGTGGACAGGCAGGATGCAGCTTGACGATTTAGACTTCGCGGATGATCTGGCTCTTCTATCACAAACGCAACAACAAATGCAGGAGAAAACGACCAGTGTAGC